ATTATTGATTCATTTTTTGGTTGGTATGATTTTTATTTAAATGTTGAGGACGGGCATGTGATGATGTTGATCGAGATTTCACTCTGTCTTTGAACGTGAATATTGACATGCGTACATTTATAATATCATAAAACAAATAAAAAACGTGGTGGTTTTTTTTATCATATGATAAATTTTGAAAATTGAGTTTACATTATATGTAATAAAATCAACATTTCATATTACACAAAATGAGAGCATTTTGCGATCTATCGGGGACATGATTTTCTATACGACGCACGGAATTGAAGCATTGAGATCTATAACCTGCTATAGATGAAAACCACCAAATGTTACAACCAAATAATCACTTACTAAATTTTGATGCTCCGTTTTGGAGATAGATAGTTGTTCAGACTTTGCCGTCTCAAGATACACGATCCACTATCTCGCTGTTTGCTTAGCTAAGCAAGATGTATACGGACCATTCACTTTTAATGAATATTTGATAAAAAAAAATATTACGGTATTAACAAAGGCACAATGATTTAAATCAAATCTCTTTTTGGATGAGTGAGTTTTGGCTCTTGAAAGTTAGAGAAAGAGAGAAATATTCAATCAAGATCGTACTAAGACTCGAAAGAATCCAATTTAAACAAAATATATATTATATTTTCGTCAATCTAGAAGTTCATTTAAACATATGCGAGCATCTATTTGAACTTTCTAGAAGAATGTCAATTTTTTTGCCGTTTGAAATCATTGCACCAAAGATATAAAAACAAAATGTAAGACTGAATGAAAGGGTTTGAACATCCAAATTTATCTGAAATTTAAAAAAACAAGAAAAATCTTTGTTCTTTCTTGCAATCAACCATAGCAAGTCCATACTTTTTGAAGTATATAATATTTAAAACAAAAAATACTCTTGCACGCTCTTCGCCTTTAGTGAAGTCAAAACCCTTGACCTTCTAACAATAACCTGGATAGCACAGGTTCAAGATTAATTCATGGAACCGAAATGAAAGTTTAAGGAGGCACAACCTAGGGATGACAAAAAAAAAATGTATATGGTGGAACCTGATACCTTAACTCAGTTTGATTGGGAAACTTCGAGTTGACAAGGAATGGGAATCCCCACATTTATGGACCGGGATGGAGATACCCTTCTTCCCCGACACCGAACTGACGATAAACTTTTATATGTATATAATAAATATAATAACAAAATGAAAAATCAAGAGGTGTTATATATGTCCGTGCGTATGTGTGTTTAAGAGAGACGGCTCACGTAACAGATTGAATATCCAAATTAATTAAAAAAAATCACCCTTTTGACCACGAGCCCTTATTTCACCTAAATCCATATGAATATTGATCTCTTTAACACAAGCTTCACAAACCCATACTCTTTTTTATGGGCAAGGCTGTCACACGAAACGGTCAACATCATGATTGTGTCCAAACAAATATTAAAACATTTTAGGGCCTTTTTAAAATTCAGAAAAAACAATTATTATATTTAAATATGGTTTTAGTTCTAAAAAAATCTATAAAAAATTCTAGATCACATATTAAAAGTATCATTATTCTTTATAGACATTTGTATTTTCAAGAATTCAAAATATACATTAAAAAAAGAATAACTAAACACTGATATCATTATATTTTACTAATATTTAATCATTATCACCACTTAATCATTATGTATCAAACAATTTAACAACAGGCAAAAAGTCGTTAAAATTCACATAAATTTCTCATCTTTGACCTATAGAAGAGTTGAATCATTGGTCCCTAAACATAGTTTTCAAATTATCCTCTATTTTATTACAATTAATTATAGAATTACAAATTTATTTCTAATTTTTAAACATTATTTTAAAAAATCAACAATCAAATATGTATCATCATTTATTATTTATAAAAGTTGTTTTTATTAGATTTAAAGATTTAGAATTACACCAATAAATTTGAAGTTTATAAAGCGATGCAGTTAGAAAAGTAAGATTGGGTTTAAGCAGGCAGGCTCACCATGTGACATCAACTTCCATAAAGATAAAACCATTAAGAAAGCTGAATATTTTCCTACATTAAATAATTACTAGAAACAAAAGTTTACATTTTTAAATTCAATTATCTTTATCACTCTTTTTTTAATTAATCTAATTTTAAATTAAATCATCATAAAGAACAAATTGACAGCAATAAAATCAATCATTAATTATGTTTAGGTAAATTGATTAATTTAATATTTTTAAAATTGTAGTTTTCAACTACATAATAATATATAATTTACAATACATATAATTATAATAATCATTTTTCATTTATAGACTTATTAAGTGGCAAGCTTTTGGAGACTTGATGAATTATATTAGTAAAAGAGTAAAGCGTAGCCAATAAGAATTAGACAACGAACTGCTTTTCATCATTTATTATTTTATAAATTAAATGCTTTTATATTTAATTGTATTAAGCAGGGTGTTCAAGGTACAGTTTGGTGCGGTTCAATGTCAAACTATAAACCGTACGTCATATGTCTCAAACTGTAAAAATCTCACACAAAATGCTGTAAGGTTTGGTGTTGTTTATGCGGTTTGAGCTTAACGCATTCCAATCCAATAATTATATACAATCACAATTTTATAATAAATTCGATGATGATGTTCTTGTATTTAAAACGACGTAATGCAAACGAAAATAGTTCGTGATTAATCCAAATATATCTTATAAATAATTTCGACCACAATTTTTGATAAAAGACAAATGAAAATAACTCAAACAAGGAATTTGTAACGTAAAAACTTAAATGGAAAACTGAAAAATTAATAAATAATCAACAATGTATTAATTACTTACGTTTGATAAATAATTATATATATATACATATATATGTAGTGCGGTGCGATTTGAATCACGGTATAATGACTCAAAATTACAAACCACACCACAAAATACGGTTTGATGAAAATAGAAACCGTAAACCGCATCGCAAATATTCTAAATTGTGTTTTACGGTAAAGTGAGAGTGATTGTAAGGCCTTGTTTAACCTGCATACCAAACCCTCTGGATGAGAGATTCATGGAGTTGGTTTCATGTAAACTTCTTTAGAAAGATTATTGTTAAGGAAGGCAATTTTGACATCCATCCAAAAAAGAGACCAATTTCGAATGGCAAGTAGACTTTTTATAGTTGTGACCCAAGCTACATTGCAAAGGTTTTCTACCGTATTCTAAATAAATCCTTTAGCAACTAGTCTCTCTTTGTATCGATTAATTGAAACATCAGACCTAGTCTTTATTTTGTAATTCCATTTTCAATTGATAATAGATTTTCCTGTTGGGAGAGAAACCAAATCCCATGTTTGAGCACACTCAAGAGCTCAAAGCTCCGCATTTATTGCTTATTGCCAAAGAGGGTCAGTAGAGGCTTCCGTATAGGAATAAGGTTCATGATGAGATAAGAGTGTGGCATAGCATTGATAGTCACGCAAATGAGAAAGAATGTGACTTGAGCAACAGCAACTACCTTAGCTGCATATCATATGTGCCTTGAGCAACAACAACTACCTTAGCTTCGTTGCCCATCTTTTGTTCCAACTGGTCTGGTTTCATCTTATCTTCTCTTAGACCTTGTAGAATAATACAAATATGAGTACCACTCTTGGTATCCAATACCTAAGAGTCATAATCGGAAGTAAACAAATCAATTAGTAAGCACACTTGAAGCACCTTTGTATCGGCCTTCTTCTTCTTTTGCTCTACCAGTCGGGCTGGACAGTTTTTCTTCCGGTATCCTTTGTGATTGCAAATGTACCATACTACATCCTCAGGAATCTTTCATTTGCCCTTATCTTTGTTGGAACTTCCAACCTTTCCTCTTCCCTAGGAAACCACCATCTTGTTCTTGACTATCCTACCTTTAGGTTTAATCATCAAGCATGCTTTGGTTTGTTTAAATCTAACTTGGATTTTATATTCCTCTCAGCAGTTTTAAGCATGTTGTGAAGCTTTGTGAGAGTTTTATCTAAACTGTTCATATTGTAGTACAGAACGAACTGATCATATGATTTAGATAAGGAATACGAGAACCGAGTCCATTTCCAATTCCTTTTCCACTGGGAAGCTAAGACGGACCAATCGGTTAATATACCATTTCATTTGAAAACGTAGGTACTGACCTACGATCCCTCAGTCATCATACAGGCATGTAATACCCTGACTGGATCACCTCACCTACCTAGCTTGTAACTGAAACATAGACTTTAGTGAGGACATCATATCTAAGCAGTCATGTATGCATGATCCTACAATAACTTGGTAGCATGGGGGCTAACATCAGGCAACCAACAATCAGCGAGTCCTTGACATATTTATCATAAGCAGCCATGAATTCAGTTGTAGTTCTAGCGAGTGTTTTTGGGGGGGTTCTCTAGCAGGGTAAGTGTTTGTATATGGCCCCTAAGGGTCGGTTTGGTTTGTAGGAATGGAAAGGATTCAGGGGGATTGAAATTCAAAATCCATTCCAATCACGTGTTTGGTTTGTAGGATTGCTCGGATTAGAAATCTCTCAAAACATAAGATTTTGAAATCCCACGGGGGTGATTAAGATTTCAAAGGACTTCGTAGGATTTGTATATAACAATGTTATAAAATATATTAAAAACATTTGTTTTTCTAATAATCAATGAATAAAAAGGTAATTTAATTATTTTTATAGCTATTTATAATTTGTTATTACAAATTATTCATAAAAAATGAAATTCAATTCCATTCCAGATACTACAAACCAAACACACCAAAGATTTCAATCCAAATCCCTTCACAAAATCCAAATACTTTCGAAACCATTTCGTCAAACCAAAGCCCCCTTAAGGTCTTTCCTCTCTCATTCTATTTTTCGTTTATCAAATAAAATTTCCTATTTTTACTTGTTACCGGACAACTAACCAATTCCTTCAAAAAAAAAAAAAAAAAAAAAAAAACAAAGATTCCAACAGGCACAACCCCTAGTTTTTGCCCACAACACCCGTATATTTTTTAATCAAAAACTAGATGTCATAATCAAGTAAATGCATAAATGCATCATTACCATTTCTTGTTGCACTTGAAGATCACAAACATATAACTATCATCCAGGATGTGTATATAATCTTTTTGCAAAGTTGATGGTAAAAAGAAGAATCAAGCAGGTTTCTCGTAGGTATTTTTCTCCCTGAACTCTTGAATAGCACTTCTTATCATTCCATCCACATTGCTGCTCACAAACAGGTGAGTACCATCCAGGATGTGTATAATAAACTTCTGTGATTGCGGCAACGAAGCGTTGTAATTGATTATAAATTGAGCCATTGGTATGTCACTGCAATAACAACACAATCGGGGGAAATAATAGAAAACTAAGTTATACCTACTAGAGAGAATTGACAACATGTGCAATGATTCAGATCAGCCCCATTGTTGTACCCTTTTGTTCTTTTAACCGCAGTATAGGAATCACCCAACTTATTCAGACAACACGAGTGTCAACATCATCCACAACTCGTTGAATAGAAGTCAGATATATGCAATGTAATTCATGGATTAAAATATAATTTAGAGGTCAAAGCTAAAGATCTTAGGGAAAATTTGCTGCGAGTTTGGGGAAGGAGGTGAGATGGTGAAAGCAATTCTTCTCTATGATAGTTTAGGCATCGTGGGCTCACGGTATGAGTAAAATTCAAGTTGAACAAAACTTTATTTTAGGTATCTGCTAATAAACGTACAGAATGTAAGAAACATGAAGATAATTTCTTTCTTTTGCCCGGCTGGGATTAATCAAGTGGATGAGATTCGGTATATTTGTGCACAACGGATGGGACAGAAAAATTCTCACCTGCTTAATTCCAAAAAAATGACGCTGACATAACTACTTTTAGGGACTTGATTATCGCATAGGAAGCCTTAAAAGCAAGCAAGCAAGAAGATGGAAAGCCCCTATTGGAGTGTGATTTCCTAAGTTTTCAAAAAAAGAGATTAATTTCCCTTTATAGGGAACACTCTTACCTCCTCACTTTCAGGACAGCTGAATTTTAATATCTAAATTTCCCACATTAGTTCTTGCAAACTAGTATTGTTGCTCCACCCTTATATTCACATCTTATAGCAGGCAATATTAACTATTTTTAACTTCTTAAAACTTCCTATTGGCTACTTCCTCCACCACTAGTTTCCTTCATGGATAGCTCATAGGGCATCAGGAAACAAGAAACTTACAAATTAAAGGCAGTTGAAATAGCAGGCACTATAGTATTATAGACAAACATATTGGCATCTAAAAGGCTTCTCTACATACCCTAGGCATACTCCTAAAAATTATTCCTAATAGCAACTACATGCCTAGTTAACCAAGATGGATTCACAAGTAAAAGCAAAGATGACACAGTGGCAACAAAAATAAGGATTTGTATCAAACAAGCCACTTACCAAGAAATAAATATCCCTTTGGCTGCATGCACCATGATGTGGATGTAATGTATCAGTAGTTGACTGCAACATCAACCAATAGAAACTTTATTTTATGTGACGAATATAAGAACCATATAAAGTAAGGTAAAATAACCCTTGTAACAAATTATGAAACCCACAGCAAGACAATTACGAGCAAAAGCAAGCTCACACACATAGTGCATACATACATTGTGCAAAGCATTTGAAATGACCCAAACAGGAAAATAGAATGAGGAAACCTAATGTGGCTTGGAATTTTACTACTTCCTTTCTTCAAATTTAGAGACACGTTTGGAAAATGAGTCAAACCATCATCTTCAGAGAAAAAGAGTGGTACTGTTGTATATTATATAAGATGAACTTCTACTATTTAAACAAATATAAAATCATAACTGTTACAGTTGAGCAAACAAATGAAAGCGTATCAATCACATAAATCTCTAAAGAAGTCAAATGCATTGCTAGTTTGAAAAGGAACTGATAGTAACAAACAATTCCAAGTTAATCCAAGATCCAAGATTACTCGTACCCAGATTCTGCATCTACTGAAAATGACTCAAATGACATGATTTCATATATTCTTCCCAAAATTGTAAATTTGAACGAATAAGGTAGTAGCATTGTCGCAAGCAATTCTCAAAATTCAAATGTAAAAGCCAAGACAAGTAATTGTAATTTTTCTATCAAATCACCAGAAGAATCTGATGCCAACTTCAAAGTAAGAACAAGAAAACTCAAATTTGACATTGCAATGCATGTAATCTTCTAAGTTATTTCATTAGGAGGAATGTCATCAAGGGTCATGATTAGAACAAACTTGGTCACAGTGTTTCTCTTTCAATTACGATAAGACAAAGGCACAAATGAATTAGGAGGAATGTCATTAAGGGTCATGATCAGAACAAACTTGGTCACAGTGTTTCTCTTTCAATTACGATAAGACAAAGGCGCAAGTGAATTAGAGCTACCATGATGCCTGATCCACTAATCTAGCATTTGACCACATGACAAATTTTATGAAATCACAACTGTGACACCGATTACAAAAGGCACCTAGAAGTGACCGGAATTAAGAGGACTCTTTACATGCCATAAATTGTTCTAGCTTTAGAAACTATCCAAGTGGCATAACTTTGATATGACTCAAAAGACCTATCGTCTCAGTTTCTTTATCAAAGTAGTCCATGAAAACTGCAAATGGAAAGTATTGCAATTTCCATGAAAAGAGAGTATAATTTTGCACCAGGGATACAGAACTAATACCTAAATCAAAATTCCTAGGCATGTCTCGAGAACATCATACCTGAATGCCAAATTGTCTTTTGACCCTCAAATACGTAGTTCTGAGGTTATCGATCTCTGTAACATAACAGTATATATTGATTATAATCCACAAACAGAGTTTAAGTATGAAATTTATATATAAAAGCACCAAACAGAAAATCAAATTGATAAACATAATGTGGTGACGAACAGACTTTCAAAAATCAGAACCAACTAGAAACCCTAGATTTCTACATGAAGATATTAAGAATTACGAGGAGGAAAACTCCCAATTGGCAGTGAAATTATTATGGTTTCTCAAACATCCTCAATTAGATACAATCAATCAATTAATCAATCTTTGCGAGAGAAGGAAAGGGAGGGAGAAAAAGATAGAGATCGAGAACAATCAATGACGAGCTCGAGATGCAAGTAAAAAACAAGACTTGAGAAACGAAACTTACTGTTATGAGTGTGTCTATGACTGAGAACGAGAGAAATTGAGAGGAGGTGGTGGCAGTGGCGGTGGTTCCAGCGAGAAGAAGGCCGCTCTCCGTTAACCACAATCTGCCGTCGTCAGATTTTAACTTACGGAGTAAATTACAAAAGTAGTCCCTATACTATTTCTTAATACGCTTTTAAGCCCCGTATTTTTTAGAGTAGTGCAAAAAATTAACAAGATCTCGACTTTCTTACAATTTCTAATCCGGTATGAATATATGATTGAATGAGACTCAACATGATAAGAGGGTATGACAGGATCAGACAAGACAGAACTTGACAAGTTGTTTGTATAGTATTTGGTATGACAGGGGTTAGATAGGACATGACTAGACAAGTTGACACCAAACAAATTTTATACAGAAATGTCAACCTTACACAATATTTTTTCAAAAATTGGAAAGAAAAAAAAAACAAACTTTATGCAGAAATGCTAAGTTTGCATTTTATTTTATTTTTCAATTTTTAAGGTAAAATAGGACTTCATATAGAAAAATTTCTTCCGCATAAAGTCCGTGCGTAAACTATGCCTATTTCAGGAAACAACTTTACAAAGTGGCTAAAAACTGAAAACTCATTTCTAAAATGGTTGCCTGTGTAAATTTCCCAAATTATTTGATGATTTTATATATTATATAAATAGTTATAAATGACAGAAATCAAGTAAATATCTAAATAATAACTTTACACAATTTTCTATCAAATTTAAATGAAGAATTCGGATATAACTTATGGTAGTTTATAAAAACATGATTTATACAAAAGAAAAATTTATGTTTTATTCGGTTTGGAAAATCTTTACAAACTGACGGATGGGAGCTAGAGGTTGTTGCAGCGATAATGGTGAGTAGGAGTAGAGGCAATGATGAATGTGAGCGACAGTGACAATGGAGGATGTGAAGATGATGGAAAGTGGTGATGGTGGCCGCCATTGATGGAGGAAGTAGTTGTGGCTGATGTGGTGAAAGTAGAGGTGGTAGTAGACGGTGGTTATGGTGGAGGTAATTGAAGGTGGTGGACAGTGGCCACTGGTAGAAATTGGTAGTGGTGACCATTAAAAACAAATATCATATTACGTATTTATGATTATATCAAATTAGAGTAGGTAAGTAATTTTTAGTTTTTGTCTCATTCTTGCTCTTCCAAACAAACACAGCAGACCTAAAGTCGAGTGTTTGCATTAAATTAAAGATATAAAACATTATCCAAATAAGAACTCACAAAAACCATGGCAACTGAATCCTGTTTTTTGTAAATCTGAAAACCCCACTATTTCTCCAAATTTCAATGGGAGCAAAATGAATAATAATAATAATACAACAATTAAATGTTTCTTATGTCACAATCTAATCCTAAGTGTGAGAGGGAGGATGCATCAGCTTCAAAACCTACATTTCATCATCATCCAAGGCATTATAGATCATCCTACAATCAACACAAAGTAATAGTCACAAGTAAGAATCCATTCCCACCATATTCATATTCATATCCATATTCATATCCAAAGTGCAGGTGTCATACCAAAATAAGGTGATGAAGAGGAGAAATATGAGATATCCGAGTTTGAAAAGCCGTTGCTTCTTTTCCCAATTCAGCTGGTTAAAGATCTCCGTCACATCCACAAGATGTTGTTTCCGAGTGTACCTGGTAACATAAATTCTATATATGACTACTTTACCCTTGAAATAACAGACTTTAACGCTCAATTCTAACCTTTGAAACCAGAAATATATACAAACAACACCAAATCAATGATTTTGTAACTATAAGACCACTCCTACCGGATAATAAACCAAACCAAACAAACCTTGTATATCCACACAAGATAGGGTCTGGGGGTAGGATGCAAGCAGACATTGTCTCTGTCCCAAAGGATAGAGAGGTTGTTTCCAATAAAACTCCCGGTTTGCAAAACAAATATACAACAAGATAAGCGAGAAAAGTGGCATACAACTTATACAACTTCTTAAGGAAAGACACCGATGTCATCATGTATCTCCTCTGACTCAAACACTTTCCTTCTAGGATGTCCCATGAATGTTACAACATTTCCTTTTTAAGAAAAATTCTAAGTTACTTGCATATTTTTCCATCCTCATTAGTACGAAAAGCTTGATCGTATTGATTTGGGTTCATGGGTTCCTTTATTTGTATTATTGAAGGGCATTTAGATATCTAACAACATTTAAAAACTACGTACCAAGTTAAAAAAAAACTGTGATTTTCATGGGAAAGTGTAAACCAAACCCAAACAAGACCAATATTTATTGAAGGTCGGTGGGATGTACACAGACCAATCATCTACCCAAAAAAATAGAGTGGTTGTTTCACTAAAGACCTTCGGCTCGTGCAAAGTATCAAGAGAAAAAGAAATATGATAAGAGCATAAAACAAGATAGGCAGTGTTAAACTTTGAAAAACGGGTTAGAAGTAAGCAACGACACTGAAACATAAAAACAAATCAAACATACAAATAGTGTAGGTGCAAACTTCATGGGGAAGAGAGAGTAAGATATAAAACATTTAATATTAGTGAAAACTTGTATCAATTAAATAAAGAGATGAAGACGACTTACAATCTCACGTTGTAGTAAAGGTATGGCAAAGCAAGAAGAAACATCACCCAATGCCCCGTTAGAAGATATATCAAGCATAAAATGCCATGTGTAATAAATTCTGGTAATATCACAAAGTTTATCCGAGATGCGGTGTCATAAGGGTTAATATAATCAAACTCTAAATCCGCTAAGCACATAAGCTGCAAGACAAAATATATGATGTCAGAACCGTTTTGAACCCAATAATTATGGACACAGAACTCAAAACCCAATGCTGATTACCAAATTAATTGCAGTACATGCTCAACCTAACATTCCCCACTACTATGCCCATATAACATACATATCCGTACAATATCACGACCTTATCCCAACCAAACCAAACTGAACCAGTAAATCCCACTCGGAAGTAGGGTTTGGGGGTGGAATGTACTCAGACCTAATCTCTACCACAAAGAACAGAGCAGTTGTTTCTGGAAAGACCCTGGCTTGTGTAATAATCGAATACAAATATGTCCATCAAACAAATGGCAGCTAAGTTGAACCTTCTACATCTAGAAAACCTGGGCAATGCAAAAGTATACACATGTATATTATATGTGTGTATATATATGCATTGTCTGCAGAAGGGTTTTTGAGTGGTCAAAACATGTGAATTTCTTCAACCTCTATGCCTTATGAACAGTTATTTTTCAAGTTATTGACTTCTCAAACAATCGTAATCGCTTTTCATTGCAAACGAATCATCTTACTTGCAAGAATGCAGAATAAACACTACATGTTCAAGACTTCAAGAATGAGCAATTGTGGACATACACCATCAAGTACACCACAATTTAAGCAAAAACACACACACATTCTTGCATACAGTTTTTTTTTTTTTAATACAATAAGGATGGTCAGTTTGCAATGCAAAACCTAGCACAATGGTTCAGAAGATCAAATATTCATCTTTTTACCTAGTTTAAGGAATGGTAAAGAGCATACTCATCCAGATAGAAACTGAAATTTTACAAGACTTTTTATGATTGCTGGAAGCCAAAAGGGCTTACAAGCAGAATAAGTGTTCAAAATCAAGCAACGAAAGCAAATATTAGGGTACAAAACAGGAATGTACTATGCATCAAGACGATAAACTTCATAACTAGACTACGCATAAATTGAAATTAAAGTGAATTACAGATACATATTTCAATCCGCCAATGAAATTACAGAAGAACCCTAATTTCCAATCTGCAAAATCAACGAAATCCAAGGGTGTAGTTGATTTATAACTAGTTCAACCAGCAAAAACGAATCAAAAAAACCAAGACTTGGTAACAGTTAAACAAGTTACAGATCACGAATTGCAGATTCAGTGTATGATTACACATATAAATACAACTACAATTAATAAAAATAAGGCTACAGTTTTGAGTTGACCTGATAAACAACGACAACAAGGAGAGCTATGAGGATGAAGAAGAACAGTAGCCATGTAATTATCTCCCCCATCTCTCTCTCTCTCTCTCTCTTCTTCCTCCCTCTGTGCTCTCTCGTTCTATATACATATTGTGTATCTATATCTGTATTTATATTTAATCAGGGAGAATGACGAAAAACCTTGAGTTGACAATTTGCCCCCCTGAACTTCATGAATTATCTGGTTTGATCCCCTTGAAATTTGAATCCTATCATTCTATTAACTTTTTGAGGGAATTATTATATATGGTTTATCCTTTTTTATCATTATCGTCAAAAGTAAATTGGTAAATATTTTTTGGTTTAAAAATTAATTTATTCTATTTCATACATAATTTATAGATTTTATTATGAAACCAAATGTTAAAATTATGTATCAATGTATTTGCTTTTGATATTTTTAAAGGGTATTTTCATTATTTTCTTTTTTTATATATAAAATAATATGATTTTAACAAATATATCTATACTATATTATAAAGCATTTGACAAAAATTCTTAGAAACCATTATTTATGCATGAAGTACTGTGTATTAATACATATTACTTAAAATTTAAGATTACAAGTAAATCATGCATAAAATAGAACTTATTAAAGCTCCATTTTTAATTCGTATAACTAACTGTGGATATATATAATCAAATAGAGGATAAACATCTTATTTTAAAATATAAAAAATCTAAAATATAATTAGAATAATCATTATCTTTATAAAAAAATATTGTTAAACTAAAAATAAATCACCTCATTTTGACCTAAATTAAAGTATAAAAAAAATTGAATTAAAAAAATTATTAAAAAAAAACGAGAACTTTTAAATAGTTAATTTGATATTAATATCGATATATTTTTTCATATTTTTATGATATCTTCAAATTTATTTTTATTCAAAAGTAAAATCATTATCTTTCTCAAAACCACATAAATCATATTATATCAACAAAGATGAAAAATAAAACGAAACAATAAAATGAAGATGTATCTCGATTCTCGCGGCATTATGCGAATTGAGAAAAGTAGTTAAATATGATATACTAAAAATTCAAGGACTATGAATAAGTTGTACCAAATGATGATGAAAAAGTAATTATGAGTAGAAAAAATGACATATGTAAGGTTACGAGAATATTCTGATGTAACAAAATACCAACCCGACCAACCCATACGACTTTGTTTGGGCTGGGTTGCACTTTGGTTTGGGTTGAGATTTTTCAAACTGTAAACATTCGGCTAGGTTTCAAATGTCTTCAACTCAATCAATCCAACCCATGAACACCCATATTAAAGATGCTCTGAAACCTCGAAAATAGAGGTAATTTGTAATGACTATCTTAAGTAGGGACTAAGGTTGTCATGAGGAAGTTTTAAGGATTGTTTAGATATATAGTGAAAGAAGAGGACTTGATTTGGTGTGTTTGTCAAACACATTCAATTAAAAGAAATAATCATCAAATCATATAAAAGAAAACCATAAGGGTGGTGGCTGGTTGGTTTGAACTTGGTTTTAAAGGTTAAAAGTGTCAGGAGGTTCCAGGTTCAAATTCAAGGAGGAACAAAAATCCACTTGTGGCCACAGAGGTTCAAATACGGTGACTCCGGGCCATCTGCAAAGCAGATGGTCGTCTTGGGATTAGTCAGCTCGCATAGCGGGTTAGATATCCGGGTTAATAAAAAAAATCATATAAAAGAAATAAGGAAAGAGTTAAGATTGTGATTGTAACTTCTCAATGTGATATTTTAACCGAAAAAACATAAATTAATCACTTCTGATGTGTTTTGTTTTGGTGTGTTACTTGAAGCCAGAATAAGGGATGAAAATAGTAGAAAGTTTCAATAAAAAAATCGTTGATTTAAGATATGATTTATGTCTAAACCATTGTATTAACATTCTATAAAGCCAATTTTGTTGTAATATGATATGCGTTTAGTAGCATACAACCTTAAGGAGCAGTTTACCATGTCGATGGAGTTGAGAAAGAGGCCTTAAGGCCGTTCATTCAATTCTTGGGGGTCGTTAATGTTGATATGATGAAATAAAGATAGTAAATGGAATCCTCAAAATTACATGATGTTCGTAAAAACCATAACGGAATTCTCAACATTTCATGTTATTTACATTCATTGTAATAAGAATACAACATGTTTATTGAGAATCTCTATGAGACGGTCATAACCTTGTTTTGATTTTAAGTAGGTTAAAATTGAGAGTTTATGAAGAAGGGATGTTGTTAGACGGAAGTAGAGCATAATTTTAGAAAATTCGTATAAAATCGATTATAATTCTATTGGTTGATTCTTGATTCGCTAGAATGACAAAAGATTTATTTAAGATGACGTTAAAGCTGCATAATGTTTTTCATGAAAGAATGAAACATGTAAAATGAATTGAGATGAAAATTAATCAGGTTTGATCATAAGTTTTGTTAGAAGGAACTAAAATGAGATTTGTCAATATAAATAATGATAAATTACCAACAACCTGATGATGTGATTTCATATGATTGACAATCAAATAGAAAACGTAAAGTTTAGAGACATTTGGTAAATGGTAGTAGAAAACCCAATAAAAAAAATATAAACCTTTTAGGGGTTGTTTGGTAATTGCTGAATGGTTTGATGCCGAATGAATAAGTGGTTAAAATGATTAAGAGGTTCTCATGATATAATGTAAAATGAAATATAATTGTTTGATAATTGTGTACAATGAAATTAGGGCTTTTAATGGTTAAGGGAGATCCATGATACAAAATCATTCAGAGGGTTTTAGAACCATTAAGAGACAGACTTTTTTTTTGTTAAACAAAATTCACTTCTTAACGATTCAGAGATTGTCTATTATAAAACTATTAAGAAATAGATAAATAACTCATTACTTGATGTGTGAGATTGCACTTTCCAAAGTTATTTATTTGATACTTATAAATGCAATGGTTTCATGGTACACTTGAAAAGTTCATTTGAATGCTTATGATTTTATTATATGCATGCACAACATGCATGTGAACCGGAGTTGGGAAATCCACCAAAATAATCAAACTTTTTCGATGAAATTCATTTTTAGTATTTTTTTTTTAATCAAAATTCTATTTTAATCAGAAACTTAATTTTTAAACTAAAAAAAGATTTTCTTGACAGAAATATTTTTTTTTTTCTTTTTTCAATTTAAAAATAGGCTTTTCCCATAAGCCATTTGCGTTGATTTTAACTAAAATGGGAATTCGGTTTTAAAATTGGTTAAAAAATGAATTTGGTTGAATAAATTGATTATTTTGATCAATTTTTCTGAGAATTATATGTCATGAACTTTTCCCTGCAACTGTATAGTGATGGGTAAGAAAGTACCATTAACCACAAGGGTAGTGTGCCTGATTGGTTTGAGCTTGACTCCAAAGGTCAAAAGTACCAAGAGGTCTCAGGTTCAAATCCATGAAGAAATAAAAATTCCCTTGTGGCCACGGAGATTTAAATGCGGTGACTTCACGCTATCTGCAAAGCAAGTGGTCGTCCTAAGATTAGTCGGCTCGTATAGTAAGTTGGATATCCAAGTTAATCAAAAATACCCATGGAACATAGCATTAATCTTGTCAATGATGGTCTTGGAGCCATTATAACGAGAAGATTTCATACCTTTTTCTTAACAAAAACATATGTACATCTTTCAAGTATATACAACCGGTTGTTGTAGAATTAAAATCACCCATCAAGACAACCCAAAAGTTTGCCCAACAATCTTATAACTTTCTTGAAATTTCGACATATAAAATTGGGGAAGAGAACGGTTGGACTCGGAGGTGGAGAAGGAGAGCCGTTTCGCCTTGTCGAAATTATCTCGGGTCCTATGATGGAATTTTCGTTGCTACGCTTCCTCATGTAGAAACTCCGGCTGCCAAAGTTTCCGATCTTGTCCGACTTATCCAAACCTATATATATACAAACATTGTAATAACTTCAAAAGAAGATCAAATCCTTACAAGATTTGGAAAGACGTATATACACTTGAAACTTACATCGAAGACTGAAATGTGACGGATGCAACTCGAAGGTTGAAATGGAACGTTGATCAAGCCGAGGGCACCTGCCTTCGGACTCGTACTGATGTTTAACGATCTTCATTGTTTCTTCCACGGTCGAACCTAATCTTACCATTGCCCGGATTGCTCCCGGGCATCCCTCAACTGTTACATTCACCACCACCTTTGCGTCTTTGTTGTACTGATGCATGTGTAACTCCTTTGAATCTCTCTAAAATTAAAAACTCATTTGTAGAAAAATGAGACATTCTTATGTATATTCAGATTTGACGGTTTGTGTCTAACTGATGTAAGATTTCAAGACATGCAATTACAAAATCCACATAAATTTCCACAATAAAAAATAAATATGATTTTATAAATTTGTAATTATTATATTTCTTTTAATTAATTAAATAACTATTTTACAATACTTTTTTAATTACTTCTTTTATCTCATAATTAACAATAAAATTATTAATTTTAATAACAAACTAAAATAAAAATCTCTACTATTATTTTCATGTCATGTCAAGATATGAATTTAACTGACTCATAATTTCGTGTCAATTATAAATAAATGAAATCTTAAATTGAAAAATCTGAAATTAATTAATTATTTTGTTTATCAACGTCACCACAATTTCCTTACCTGAATTTTGGACGGAGAATAAGGCAACACTAACTCCGGTGCCGACGAGAAGATGTCCGGACGAGATCGGGAAATTGACATCAGTCCGCCGGGATCCTCCGTGGCACCACCAACATCGACGGTCAACAAAGCAGGCACCGAGTTGCATCTGTTGATGAATTTCAACGGCTTCTTTGAAGATGACCGTCGAACAATTACGACTCGGCGGCGAAGTCTGTGAGTAGACGGTGAAGGATGTGGCGGTCTGATTCTCCGGCTGACCGGAACTCTTCCACGGAGGCGCTTCTCTGACATTGATTATGAAAATGAAAAGGCTGTTCGAGTAAATGTATTATGTAGAGTTACTATAGATACAGGTCAGGTGTATTTATAGCCTTCGGAAATGAAGAGGTAGTTGTTGGTTGGTAATACTTGGAAGCATGTGTGTTATCGAATCAATTCTGTATTTTCGTTTCTCTTTATTTGAAAAAAAAATGAGATGATAAGTATATGTATATGTATATGTATATGTATATGTATATGTATATGTATATGTATATGTATATGTATATGTATATGTATATGTAGGGTTGGGTTCCCGTGAGACCAAATGTTTTTCGTAAGACCCGTAAAATTAATTTATGTTCATTAATCAACTTTATAAGCTAATGATCTAATGGTCTAAAGTTGAACGGTGGCAAATTTATGATTATTGAGAAGTCTCGTGGCAATTTTGTGATTATGAATGTTCAAATTGTGGATCTAATCCAAGGGTTGAGAATTGGTCTTACGGGTCTCATGAAAAACCCTATCTCACGAAAAACATTTGGTCTCACATGATTCCAAGTCTGTATATGTATGTAGAATTTTCTTATAAATCCAAAATAAACATACAAATTCAGTGTATTTTATTTAAAGTAGAATTTAAGTGTGAGATATATGTTAATTGGAAATTATGGGTGTCCGGACCAGTTTATGCATACATCAACTGATCTCATAGCTCATTGATCAATTTCTGTTAACATCTGATTTTCATGTTGTTCTGTTTTTCTTCTTATTGTGTTGTCAAGAATACGATAATGTGATGTTTTATTATCTCTAACTTTTCTTTCTCAATAATTCAATGCACTAATCTCATAAATCTTGATTGATTGATGAAGATGTTTGTTTTACCTTTATCGTTTGTAGTTTTTCTCCTTGGTGGACAAGGAGTCAATATTACTTCAGGGGATTGATGTTTTTGTGTTTGAAGATGTTGAATTGCAATGACCAGAAACAATACCTCGAACCACAAGGGTGGTGCTTGATTGGTTTGAGTTTGACTCCAAAGATTAAAAGTACCAGGAGGTCTCAGGTTCAAATCCAAGGATAAATAAAAATTCACTTGTAGCCACGGAGGTTCAAACGCGGTGACTTCGAACTATCTGCAAAGCAGGTGGTCGTTATAGGATTAGTCAACTTGCATAGCGGGTTGGATATCCAGGTTAATAAAAAAAAATACCTCGTATGTTCAAGTCTTCAACTAAATCAGCGTCTTTTTACCCTCCTTGTAGACTCTCCAACTTCTTTTCTTACACAAGACCCTCCAAAAACATATAAAATGAATCTTCTACCCTTCAATGAATACTTTGTTTGTTGATCCATGATGGTTCTGAATTTGTTTATAATGTCTAACAAACTTTGAAACACCAAAATTCAATTTTGTCTGATGATTCAAAGTGCTTGAGAATATTCATAGATGTGATTCTGTTAATTTGTGATCATGTTTTAATCAATACCAGTTGTCACGTCTCTACTTATGTTGACTTACAATAATATCTCATTTGTGGTTACTTTTTTCTCTTTTTTACTTCTGTTTGATTGTTTTTCACTTGGCTATACATATAATGCTAATTTTACTGTAGGAATTTCCCGGCCCTTGTGCACCTCTGATTTCTAATACATCATCGACTTCATTTGTGTTGAATGTTATGCTTAAAATCAAGGTACACATAAAATACATAACACATTTTTAAATACCTTATAATTTATTTTTTATATTAATTAGTTTATTGTTGATGACCACAAATTATTCTTTTGATATTGTTTTAATATTTTTGTCATAAATATAGCTGGGTTAACAACAACGATTTTTGACCAGTTTTTCTGGGATTTGATTTGGGTTTTTTTAACCGGGACTTGACCAAACCGATTTTCGATTAACCAATGGCCCGTTTTGAGACTTTATCTAGATTTTTAACCAGTTAAATGTTTGTCTCAAGTTTAAAATTTATGATAAAAACAAACTTTCATCTAATTAGTCCTTACCGATTCAAAATTATTTAACCATTTATTTGTAGATCTCTAATTCAACTTGCTAAGAGGTTATTTGTTTACCTCTTAATAGTTCTATTAAGAGACAATATCTAAATCGTTAAGAGGCAACCTCTGAATCGTTAAGAGATTAATCTTATTTGACAAAAAAAACCTGTTTCTTAATGATTCTAAAATCCTTTGAATAGTTTTGTATCCTAAGTCTCCCTTAACTATTCAACGCCTTAATTTCGTTATGAATAATTACCAAACAATTATATTTCATTTTGCACTATATCATTAAAGTCACTTAATCATTCTTCACCATATTATTCAATACCTGCAAAACAACTCTAAACATGTATCGTTTTAATATATTTATATATTTTAAGAATCATAATAACATTTTAGGCATAAAAACAAATTGTGAAAATAATTTGTGTGTTTGAATTTGCAAAGATATCATAAAATGGGGCCGCCATCAAATGAACCGACCATGCCTTCCAACTTTTGGTTGCCAACGTAATCTAGATTCCAACACTTGTGAAGCTTCCGCGTTCCTTCGTCATTTCCGTCCTTAAAACATTCAAATACTAAACTACAAATTTGGTCCTTCTGGTTTGTAAAAATAACATTTTCGTCCCTAATATTTTGCAATTATAAGATGGCAGTCATAGTCTAAAAAAATAAAGGATATTTTTGTCTTTTTCTCCAAGTTTTTGTTATTTACCCAAATAAAAATCACATTAATCAAATCATAAAATCGATTTTAATTAGTTGAAAGACAAAAACATCGATAGAAGAATAAAAATACCTCTTTTTTAATAAAAAAAATTAACGGTCTTATAAAAAAAAGGATCAAATCAAGACATTTTTATAAATCATGATGACCATTTTATAATTTTAAAACTATAAGGGTGAAAAGTGTTAATTTTGACCGTCCTTTGACCAAATTTGTAGTTTAATCGTAAATAAATCATATACATTTATTGTTCATTGGGTGACAATAGGTTTCTATCAATACGTACGTGTTCTAATGAGAATGATCTACCGCTTCAATGAAGACTTGTGTTTCTTTTCAATAATCAAAAAAATAAAAATAAAATTAACTATAAGAATGGTTACTGATTGGTTTGAGTCTGATCTTTAAAGTTTAAAATTATTTAGAGGTCTCAGATACAAATCCAAAAAAAATAAGATAATTTTAAACTACCCATAAAACAGATGGTCGTTTGAGATTAGTCGACTTACATATATTGACAATATAGTTTTAAATTACAACTAATTATGATATACAAGTGGCTTAACATATTTTCAACTATCATGTCAAATATGCAATCAATTGAATGAATAAGAGATTTTGTAGTGTAGATACTTTCTTAATGTAAAGATTAAATAAAGTTGATCATAGGGGTATCTGTGTTTGGTTTGATCGATTTAACCCTCCAACCATAAATCTAACCATAATGGCGGTTTAGAAAAATTTTAAAACCGTGCAGGATGGTAGCAAGTGACCAAAGCGGTTAAATCGGATCACAAAAAGACGGTCTGGTCTGACCAGCTTAACCGATTTGGACCTATTATGAGCTTCGAACTAAACAAAATATATAACATATATCTCCATTATGAAATTTATACCATTATGACATTATTTAAAAAAACACTACACCAAAATGTAAATGAAACATCTATCTCCAATATTAAAAAGGTATTGAGGAAGTTGAACAAAAGTTAGGAGCTGCTTACCAAATGCTTACTCGGGTAAGTGAACATCAAGTCAGATTATCTTATCGGATGAATATAGTATGGACCAAGAATCTTACCAGGTAAGAGCGAGACAAGTACCAAGAGTCTTATCCGGTAAGTGAGGGCGACGACTCTTACTATGGTAAACGCTTACCGGGTAAATTGTTGCATACGATATCATTTTGGTGGATTAAAATTTTACTCGATAAGTAAATTATAGTGTTAAATTTTACCGATAAGCGCTTACCGGATAAGTGTTTGGTAAACGGCCCCTTAAACAAGTTCATTAACAATAGTTGAAGTTTTAACAAATATTGAGTGAGTCGAAAGACGATTTTTAGAATTTTAGAATTTTAGATTTTAGATTTATTTTATAATTTTGCCAATGTAAGGAACGCGGACAGTTACGAAAAAAAACTAGTAACTTAATGTCTTTGAGTATTTTTTTTAAATTTGGTTGTAAAAGTTGAGCCTACAACATGAAAATCAAAATATTAATATATTTTTAGCAGTCGGCTCGGTCCAATCCGCTCAAAAACATTCAAAACGTAGACTGAACCGAACCAGACCGAACAATTTGACTATTTTTCAGACTAGACCGAACTGTCATACCCATCGAACGGTAAAAACAATCTGGTTTAACTTGGTTAAACGGTTTTTTAAGCACCCATAGTTGATAATTGTCGTACCCTTGATTTCACCTTATGGGAAAAGTGACATATCGCTTAAAATCATCACAACTTAAACAAAATATAGCGGAATTTATTACATACAACCAACCACTTAAATTGCCTACAAATGGAAATATATCATCATTCCGTTTTTGGAATAGGTGGCAGGCCCAATAAAAACTTCTGAATAGGTGCATCTTTAAAATGAACAAGAGTCTCTAAGATCATGGTTTGATTTGGGAGATAGTCAGCGTAACTTGACCTAAAAAAAGCCAATTGCGTTGATTAGGAAAGTCAAATACATTTTTTTTCCAAATAAAATCGATTTTATTCATTAAAATAAATATATGTTGTCTTAAAGATTAAATAAAAAACGAACAATTTTTTAATATGAATTGACATGGGGAAGAAAAATAAACCATGAAATACATTATAAAATTAAAATAGGAGAAAAGTTAAATCTTCGCTTGTGATAATAATGCTAAAATTGTATATGAGGGTCATGAAACATACCTGCTATCGTAAGTTTGACAGTCTCATTTGAAATGCACCTACACAATCAAACACTTTGTAAGTACGTTAATCAAAATCTATTAGTTATTCGACCAATG